TTTTTTTTTTTTTTTTTAATATAAATAAATCAATATATATACTTAATTTTATTTTTTTTTTCATTCACACACACACACACACACACACACAAAAAAATATATTTTTTAATTCTATATAAATATCACTCTCTCTCTCTACATACACACACAAAAATATTAAATTTAATTTTAATTTATATTTTTATATTTATTAATTTATATCTATATATATATATATATATATATATATATATATCTATATCTATATATATATATATATATATATATATATATATATATATATATATATATATATATATATATATATATATATATATATATATATATATATATATATATATATATATATATATATATATATATATATATATAGGGGTGCAAGTTGAAACAATTTACGCCGGTTCCGATCTGAAAAGTTATGATTTTGGAACAACTTTTTGCATTCCGACTTCCGAAATTCCGATTTCCGATTTCTTCCGATGTTTTTGCATTGAAATTGGAATCATATTATAATATTGGAATTTCCGATTTCTTATCCGATTTAATTTCCGAAATTAATTCCGAAAATTCCGATTTTTTTTTCAAAAATGCACCTATAAAATATATGTATTATATAATACTTTTTTTTTTCTTTTTCTTTTTTCTTTTTGTTTTCTGAAGCATTAATTTTATTAAGGTTGCGTTTTAGGATTTTGACATATTGAATTGTTGTCGGAAGTTTTAATGAATATTATGATGTGGTTTATTTTGATTTATTTCTTTTGAACTGAAATTAGTAGTTATTAGTTTTACGTTTATCGACGTAGATGTTCTTATTTTTGGAAAATTATGAAATTTTCAGAAATTTCCGCCAAGTTTTGAAATTTTATAACTTATGTGATATTCCGAAAAATTTCTGAAATTCCGAAATTTGCGGGCCTTTTGGAATTGGAATGAATTTTTTAATTCCGAAAATTTAGGAATTGGAATTGGAATTAATTTGTTACTTCCGAATTTTTTTGGAAATTTTCCGAAAAGGCTGATTCCGATACATCCGACTTTCACCCCAATATATATACGAAAAATGATTTGATTAACGCATGTATGACAGTTAGGGCTGCGTATAGGTTGGGTCGGACAATTATCGGCCAATTAATACCTAACCGACCCGACCAACCGATTTTGCTGAATATTGAAAACCATCCAAACGAAGAATAAATCGATCTATTGCGGCATGAATTTTTATACCTTCCAAGCCTCAAAGTAGTTAGTCTGATCCCTTATCCATTTATGAGATGTCACATTCATAACACGTTGGTTTTTGAATCCCATAATTCAACTTTTTTAGATTTTATGTAAGAAAATTTGGATACGGAATTTATTATTATTAGTAGCATCTGTTAAATGTGCTGCTTCTCCTTTTCCTAAATTATTTTTTCAAACTTTTTTTCAAGAATATATATATAATGAAAACGATGTTCGCACAAATAAAATGTCGATATTCGTATTTTTATCGTTTTAGCTTCGAAAATATATTTCAAACATAACGTATATAAATAGCATTTTGCCTCCTAAAACGTACGTTGATTTATACGTTGCCCCGTCAATGAAATGTAGTTAAAAGGAAAAAACTCACAATAGACAATAAAAAAGACATAAAATTATAGTGATAATGTTGATATGTATATATACATATATATATATATATATGAATGAAAGATGCTGAATTATTTTGAACATACAATTAAATTTTGAGCTAGCTAGGGGGGTGTCTAAATGAATATAATTAAGATCACCTTTCCAGCTATATAATATATAGCTTCTAACTTATTAATTAAACAGAATAAAAGTGTTTTTTTTTTTTTTTTTTGCTGATACATCACAGACATAATGTTTTCAATAATCTGTCAGACATATAATTAATTCTATATCAATTAATTTATTAATTAATTATCAAACCTACCTCGAACATACATACATACATACATAATTTTTCATATCTTAATTAAATACGCCACTTAATTATATATATACCACTTAATTGTTATAAATGATTTCAATTTCATATCTTAATTATATGTAATAATTATTATTAATTTATTTCTGGGATTTCAAAAGAGCTTTCTTTTTCATAGTGTGAACAATTAAATCTGGCAGAAACGTGGTGCAAAAAATTAATAAATAATAAATGGTTTTGATGAATTGGGGTATGTTAGAATAATGGTGCAGCACAATCCAAATAATATATCCAGTAGCTACTTCACAAGAAAGAGCTAATCATTTGATGATGCCAAAAGTGGCACAATTTTGAAGATTCTTTTTTCACTCCATCTTTTTATATATTCATTTAAAGAAAAAAACAATTACTCATCATCATCATATATCAACACGTCTCTGTATATATATATATATATATATAAAGAAAAGATTTATAAGAGTCAATTAATAATAAAATCTTGCAATGTATCACTAGTTCAAATCCAACTACTCAGCATGCTCTAC